TATACTAAGCAAAGTTATTTGCATGGGAGAATTTGGAATCATTTTATTTCGAACTCAAAGTTTATCGATAAAGGCAGTTTAGTTCTATAGTAAAAGAATATTTTAAAACGTTTTGCTAAGCGTTTGTGCTTGAATTTTACCTTAAATTCAAGCTTATATTACGTATAATAACATACCTAACATATATGTTTAGGAAATTGATAATTTTGTAATTAAAAGTGATATTTATAGGGGATTTTTCATTTGTAAAAATATTCTTTAAAATTTATCGTGCTACCATGACAACTACTTAAAATACTTCACGTTCGGAAAATAAAATGGTTTTGTCAGCAAGGCGAGGGTTTCTGCATGCATGTATTTTCTAGTTATTATGCGGTAAATATGCACATGCATCGGACTCAGGAGTGAGCATTTAAAGCCATTGCAATATTAAACTGATTGAATATTTTTGGAATGATTGCCTACCTGTTCATAACTCGTTAATATACAGTAAGTACATGCAAAATTTTAAAGCTCTATTTTTGAATTTTCAAGGAAGAATTTGAACATTTGTAAAATGTAAATATAATCCATTTATCTCGAATCAATTTTTTTCTTTTTTTGGCTCTGGTTACTGTTGCCTATGTCCATATTAAAAACATTTCACTTCAAGTGCACATAGCATGCATATCTTTAATTTTAAATTTCATACTGTTTTGTACACATGCAGCTGTTGCAGTCCTTCAGGCATGCCATGGTAGTCATACAGAATATAAAGTAATTGGAAACCACAAATTCATATGGGATGTAGGTAACAATTGCAAGTGGAAATAATAGTTCAAACAACCTACTTTCCTTCATGCATATAACTTGATGTGGTACAAGGGTTGTTAAACCAGAGCTGATTATAAAATAAGCCCTGACCTGATAAGACAGGATACATCATCACCATGGACCCCAGACAGGCTCAAGCTTCTGCGGATATACAAGTGGGGGGGGGGGTTAATCTCACCTAGAAATTCACCCCACCTCTTTTGCCACTTGCATTCCACTATAAATTTTTCCACCCCTCCTCCACAAATAAATCAATCCCGATGCCACGCAAAAGAATACTTATTTTCCTCTGAGTTAACAACGAAAGTATATTTTTTACCGCTCTCTGGGATATTATTTTTGCAACCTTCAAGACATTATGAAGACAGATGTCTGTATATTGTAGAGTATAATATTTATTGTACATCATATAAACTTTTTGTAAGATCCACACAATATATAAATTTGTATCATAACTAAAATTTGAATCACAATCTGTGATTGAATAAATATTCATTTACATCTTGCTTCATTTCTTGTTTTCTTTGATAACCTGCAAGAAACGATCTTCTCAGAAAATCTGATATTTTTGCAACTTTATTATGATATATGGTGTATATGCATGATGTAATTTATTCCTGGCCAGGTAGAATTCCAATAAGACGCATCTATGTGTTTATTTTCAATGAAAGTAATAAGAAAAATTCACTGAATGAGTTTAATAAAGAGGTGAAGACATGGAGTATTTTTATACGAAAGCTGGGCTTGCATGGTTAGCACTACAACTAGCCTAATAAGAGACATATCACTGTGTAGCTTTGCACAAGACCTCACTTGAAAAACATTAAATCTCGGTTACCAGGACAATTAAGCATTTCCCATATAAATATACTAACCAGGCTTGTCCGGTTGCCAAGCCTTTTTATGCGGAGTATGTTGATTTTGGTAGTAATTGTAGATATTCGCAGACAGACATCTTGATAGGTTTTAGAAATGGTAAAAACCAACCTTCGATCGCACACTCAGATTTTATTAAGCAAATTATATTTTTTGCAAGTTAACATACTACAGCCTTCACATGTAAGACAATTTAGTGTGGTCAGGAACAGTTCTGCAGCACTTTTCAGCTCTGCACATTAGATTCACATATGCTTCAAAATAGCCTAATATTATGAACTTTTTAATATTGTGGTTGACTTTAAATGTCAAAAAAATGATCTTGGACATACCACTCAAATTTGAATCAAATTATACTTTTTGCAAACTAATATACCCAGGGCTCATCCTTAAAGATAAATTAGTTTGATAAGAAAACATTTTGCGCTAATATGCAACAGTTAAACTTGATGTTAAAGACTAGATTGTTAAAGTCAATTTCTGCCAAATAGTACTGTACCAGTACTTGATGGATGTTGGTAATAAACAATGTTCATACAGATTTTAAATCAATATGGATGATGAAAAATGGAATAAGCGATATGTTCATATGACTAAACACGATATTCACACATGATTTCCAAGAAAAAATACAAATATTGGGCTTTCAAGTAAATAAATGCTGTGAATATTGTAATTTTGGTTGATTTTAAAATGTCAAAAAACGACTTTGGACCTAGCTACCAATCAAAGGTGAATCAAATTATACTTTTTGCAAGCTAATCTACCCAGGCCTCATCCTTAAAGAGAAATTAGTTTGAACAGAGACAGTTAATTTTCAACAGTTAAACTCAATGATAAAGAGTAGACGGTTAAAAGTAAATTTCTGCCAAATAGTACAGTACCAGTACTTGATGGATTTTGGGAATAAAAATATTCATACAGATTTGAAATCAATATGGATAGTGAAAAATGGAATAAGCGATATGTGCATATGACTATAAACATAATATCTCACATAATTTTCCAAGAAAATATACAAATATTTGGCTGTTCAGTTAGCTAAACACTGTGAAGATTGTAATTTTGGTTGATTTTCAAAACTTAAAAAACGACCTTGGGCCTACCATTCAAATTTGAATCAAATTATACTTTTTGCAAACTATCAGACCCCGGGTCTATTGTGAAGAACATTTGAGTTAGATCAGAAGCAGTTTCGGATGATTTCGGAAATATGTTTTACCAATGAAGCAATGGTGTAATTCAAGTCACATTTGGCAAGAGCAGTAAAAATTAAATTCAAATCTAATTAGCGTTTGCATTTTAAAATCGTTGCGTTTAATTGCAGAAAATATATCTTAAAAAAACAGAACATATACTGTAGTTCAATATTTCCATTTAGTTCTAAAGCTATAGCCAAACATGCTGCATTTAATCACCAATCATCATAAATCTCATTTAATCACCAATCATCATAATCATCATAAATCTGTAAATTTTGAAATCGTTTGTAAAAATCCGCACAATTAATGCTGGACAAACACACTAGTTGTGTTAATATATGATTTGCTGTAAGTTGAGTATGTCAGGTTTCTTTTTAATATTTTCTAGTCTGGTCAGAAGCAGGTTAATGGCTAGAAAATCAGTATAAATTCAACCATGGCTTCCAAGGTCCCATGACAATCAAGTCAAAACAAATGCCACCAAACATTGCATCGCTTGTTATTCTTTGTTTATTATAAATTCATCTTGTTTAATCCATCTCCTCACTTCTTCAAGATTAATTTGACTAATTATCTACCAAACATCTCTCCATCCAGTTCTAATTTGCGATAAAAACTGCATCATTTTCAAACGACACACTCCTAGACAAGAATTAATCCGGCAATCTGATTGGTTTTGAGCGCCAAATAAGCGAAAAGTTTTGCGAAAAATTAAAATTAAAAATTAAAATAAAAATTAAAATTAAAATTTAAGCGACTTTGCAAAAAATCTCCTTATAAAAGGTCTTAAAACCACTATTTCTTGCCCCACTAATCAATATTGAATACAGTAATTAAAATGACAACTGTTGCCCCGAATTCAGTTAAACATTGAGTGATGGGGGAAAGGGGAGTTTCATTGTCAATCAGCACTGCGAGGAAATTTTGTAGCCTATATTAGCGTCTAATTAATTAATTTGAGTATTAGACAGATTAAGAGGACCTCGTTTGGACGCGGACGTCAAAGACGACGTCAAAATGGCGTGTTGTGCCCATGTATGGATATGCTACGCCATTTTGACGCCATTTTCACGTCGTCTTTGACGTCCGCGTCCTCGATCTTAATCTGTCTATTATGTGCGACGGCACGCCGCTCTTGCATGATCTATGAAATAATTTTCTCGCATGTAAAATTTTCACATTAGGCTATGAATTAGTCACGCCGAAAATTAGTCAGCATGCTGGTTCCCGTAGTATAGTGGTCATCATATGCCCCTAACGGACAAGATTCCCAGTCCGATCCTGGGCGGAAACAATGCATATATGGATACATTCCGATAATAATTGATTTCCCGCTCCATCTAGAACAAGCAGATATATCGTGTGAAATAGAACAGAGTATAGTTTATTTATTTGCATCGGGTGAACTCGAAATATTAAAAAAGGCACACTTATAGCTAATAGTTTAAGGTTAGGTTAGTATATGGTACGTTAGGGTTAGGGTTGAGTTAGGGTTACGTCCGGATCACGTTAGGGTTAGGTTAGGGTTGAATAAGTGGCATGGTTAGTTTAGGGTTGTGTCTCGGTTAAGGTTAGGTTAGGTTAGTTTAGGGTTACGCTAAGGTTAGGGTTGTGTAGGGTTGGTTAGGGTTGAGTTTGGGATAAGGTTAGATTAGGTTAGAGTTTGGTTGGGGTTAAGTGTGTATGGGTTATCCATGCTAAAATACGTAGTGGGAAAGAAACTGGACGCTGTAATCCCTTGTAGAAGAAATATTATTTATTTTTTCGTTTGCTTAATATAGAGGAAATATGTTAAGAGTTGTACAAATATATATTCAAAGCTCTCCCGGATTTACTTCAAAATTTTCTGTCAGGGGAGGGATTCGAACCCACGCCTATGCACATTCGTGGACCAGAACGCACTTTAGCTGCGCATTAGAGGGGGAAGTTTGAGTCTTAAGTCTGGCGCCTTAGACCGCTCGGCAATCTCGAGTGCTCGTAGCCTTTGTGTGTAACATACTTTACTTAAAACAGAAATAATAGCCGAGTGCAATTTATTCTGGAATTATTTCTCACATCGCACGTTGCTGGGCTTTCTGTTATTCAAAGAAATTAAAACGAATGAAAGTTATATCTCGTGAATGAATTTTGAGTCAATTCTATGACTCTAGCTACATTCAACGATTAATGATGGGGAAGCTTGCAAAGGTCTCTGAACTAGCGAAGGTTTCTGTACTATAGCGGTCATCACATGCGCTTTACACGCTCAAGGTCTGCAGTTCGGTCCTGGACAGAAGCAGTCATGTTTGTTTTATCTACAGGAAATGGAAGAGCAAAATTTCGCAACGGGGCCAGGACGATTGTTTTACGAGGCACGTTTCTGTAGTGTATATAGTGATCATCACGTGCGCCTCACAAGCGCAAGCTCCCCAGTTCCAACCTGGGCGGAAACATAAATGGTCCGCGTGCTCCAGATATTATTCCAATTCCATAAAATAAATGGATTGCAATTTCCTGTAAATAATTCACGTAATGTATATCTATATGCAACATTTATTTCAGCCGAGTAAGAGAGTTTTATTTAGTTTTATTTATTACTAGAAAATACATGCATGCACGAACTCTCGCCTTGCTGATAAAACAATTACGTTTTCCAAACATGAAGTATTGTCACGGTAACACGATAATTTTAAGAATAGTTTTAAAATTAAACAAGACGCCTGCTCAGGCGTTCACACTGGCCTGAAAATGGCAACTTTGAATTCGTGGTACTGGGTGTAATGTGCAGTAGAGACGTACAGATAGGGATACAGGATCATAGGGTTACTGGATCATATAAATACAACCAATAAATACAATCATGATCAGCAACAATCAACAATAATATACCAAGACGCCAGGTTTAAAAGTACCCTCCGGCTACGGGCAACTCAACCTGACAAGCCAGGCCCACTGTAATACTATGATCATCAACTACCAACCGTGAATATTGACGGGCCAATAGCGAAGAAATTATAGTCCTTGATTTTTAATGCCGTTATATGGCTAGTTTCATGTGCTAAAAAGTTCATAGACGTAGACGATTCTTCTAAAAAATACGCCAATTTGCTTCTATTTATAAGATAAACCAATCCCAACCCATAGCCCTTCTCTAATCCCAACCAGCAGACATCTAATAAACAATTTGAGAATTACAAAAGTGTGGGGGGGGGGGAAGTTGAATCTTGTTCCAAAAACAAATCGAACCGTATCACGTTTCAATTCGCCGCAAGCAACGCCATCTCGCTGAATACAATCGGAAACATACATTTTATAGTAATATATGAGCAGCTGGAAAATTTTCTGCCGCTTTGCAGAGAAATTGCTGGCGCACGTGATATTTTACAAAAATTCGAAAATTTGAAAGAACAAGACGAGTGAAATTTCAACTGATGATTTTGAATTTTTAAGACGGCGATCAAGGAAATTAAATTGTAGGAAAAACTTCAGTAACATCTCAAGTATGGAAAGCATCTACATTATCATCATTTTAGTTTGTGGAATGATTCAAAATTCGGCGATAAAGTTACATGGCTAGGAGTTGGATTTTATGCTCTTCGAATATCCATTGTCATTCCAGGATTACTGCAACTTGTTGGTCTCATGGGTACCAAAATCGACATAAACGTAAACCAGTAACCAAGAGCTATAACAAAAATCGCTTTTCAAAAAGATATACTCTATTCAGTCAAAATGATGAGGGTAAATAAACATGCTACAGCGTGATAGTGATTTCGAAGCAACTTTCTCATATATATTTAAAAAAGTAGGATAATGAATCAGATTTTGCTTTTTGCAATCCCAAAAAGGTATGAAAATTATTTTAATATTTGCGATTTCCATGTTTATAAAGTGTTTTTTACGAAAAAGAAAAATTTTCCCGAGAAAAAAGCATAGTTTGTGCAGAAAATTGTGTTTTGAGATAGAAGATCCTGGGAGAGGGGGTGTAGAAGTGTGGGCGGATAGCAAAAAACCTTGACTTTTGCTCCAAAAAATTAATACCAAATTTTGTTTTTCCTTTGTTTAATGTGTAATTTAAACAAGTTTTTTTACATCTAAAAATTCCGCTTAGTGATCAAAACTTGGATTATGTTTGCAGTATTGCCTATTTGTTTACTTTTGGAGGTCAATGTTTGAGGTACAATTATTTTTAAAGTTTGCAAACTACCCAGCTAATACTTGCCTGTTGTTTGCAGCCTTATATGCTGATTAAGATTTAGTTTGGTCCACAATATTAGATCCCTTCAATGAAGGGAAATTAAAAATAGTATATTTGATTACTTTTGCAGCACAGTCAGTACATAGATAGGGTGCAATACCAGGCCAAATTGGAAAAAAAAAATGCCTATTGCTCCAAATTCAAAATCATATCTTTTTGCTCCCAAGGCACATAGGAAACAGAATTTAACAATAAATTTTGTTGAAAAATTCCGCTTATGGGTCTTATTTCGCTTGAAATGCGTGCGTCTACTGCTCTTGTATGACGCAAGAGTTCGAAAACATTCGAAGTAGTTTGAAAATGTAATAAAATCGACAACCTGACTTGCCCTTGAGATCTTGCTACTGCCTCAGCACTGAAATATTTTTTGACAACGATAATTTACCATAGTTTCCTGGATATGTTCCTTGTTTAACTCGAAAAATCGAACATACAAGTGCATCTGAAGACTAAGCGAGAGTTTTGTGTAGAAATATGTTGTTTACGGGAAGTTATTTTGCATCCGCAAGGCGTCAACAATAGCCGGCATTTTCGCCACAGTTTGATTATCATATCAATAGATAAAAGCTTTAAAAATTCAATTGAAATAAATTTTAAACCGCCCGTATTTGAATAGAATATATGCTAGTCGTATTAACATTGAACTTCTTTCTGTTTGAACCCAAATTTGTACTTGTTTTGCGTTTCACAAGGCTGCCAACTGAGCTCGCGTCCTCGCGACGATTCAGTGGCTTTTTATACCGAGCATCAGATTCAGTCTTCTTGTTTGTGTGAGGATTATAATATTCTATTGCTGTTCAAACAGATATTCTATATACACAGGAAACGTAGAGTACATTTTACTTTGTCCTTGACTCAAGCAAATACAATATAATAAATAATAAATACAAGAGACCAGCGCATGTTTATGAGCCTACGTAGTACGTACAACGTATATTTATACTTGTTAATTAAAGTCAAACTGTCAAACATTTAATTTGTCCTTGTTTAAATTCCACTATATTGTATAAATTCGCTGGGTCCAAATTTTGGGGTTTTCGAGTCGTTACACAAAGAAAAGCACACTAATTCAACACGCAAGAAAGGCCAGAGTGCGACACAACGTAAAATCCAAATCAGATCGTTCAGTGAAAATCCGCCATTTTGAAACTGAACTGAATATGTCACTGGAGCACGTTGCACCCTGAGCCTGCGATGACCCAACGCAAACTCCATTTCTCGTCGAAAACAGAAAACAGAAAAAGAGGAATTTAAGACACTTGGCCTACAGGCCAGTGTGAAAATCCCCTCAAAATATCACTTTTAATTACAAAATGATCAATTTCGCAAACATATATATATATATATATATATATATATATATATATATATATATATATATATATATATATATATATATATATATATATATATATATATA